AGGAGCCATAACGTTTCCCCCAATACTTTGAGTGACAGGACATATATGGTGTGTTTCCATCAGCCTTTTACTCATGCACATTTTAAAATATCGCATCAGATAAGCTTGATGAAAACACCAAAATTTGTAAGTAGGTAGTATGGGAGGTATTCTCTTGAAGTTCACAATCACTTCCAAAGTGTTAAAGTGGGTTAAGCTACAGATATTCTCACCACATCAGTAGTCCAGTGGATAAACCTCTTGTTTGTGTGGAGAACCATTGTGCTTGATACCCACTAAAACTTAATACCTGGTATAAACACCACAGCAATAGCTTGAATTTGTTGCCTTCATGGTTCATGTCTTTCTCAGTCTCCCACATCATCGGGAAAGAATTCTGCTCAATATTTTCATATGAAGTTACGTCACTGATTGCTTGAGCTATTTTTGGCCTGGCCTTAGTGGTCAGAGATGGCCTCACATCTGGAATATTATAGACTGCTCAGGGACCACATGCTTTATTGTCTGTTTGAGGGCTTGGTATCTGATATGGTATACTAGGGTCTTGTCAAATATGGCACAGTGCATTATAACACCAAACATGGGCTAATTTATGCAAAGCAGATTGTTTCACAAGTTATGGTTCTTTTAAGCTGATCTTGTCCTATTTTTTTTTTTCTGGAGATACACTTTTTCCAAGCAAGTCTTCAATATCAGTGTTTCTTTCATTTGACCACTATTTTGCTATATGCCCTGTAATGCTTGAAGTGTATGTAGGTGTTTTTGTTCTTCAGAATTTTACACATGTGACAACTAGATCGTGATTAAATTACGTTACTTGTGGTTTACATGTTTTTCACTTGGACATAGTGTAGAAAAGTGTAGTTAGTTTAAATACACGTTTAAGCCTTCTTAGTTTGTTTATCTCTATCAATTGCTTCAACACCATTGCTGATGTTTCTTTTCCATCTTTGTATTGTACTTCACAAACCTATATTTTCTAGAGAATTATACTGCCAAATTGTCTTGTCATGCAGTTTTGGCAATATTTGCTGATTATCAACTAGTGATTTAGTCAGCAACACTTGGTTGTTATTCTCTCTGTCTTAACTTATGCGTAATCCGAAAGGTTGTACTTAATTTGTGACGCCAAGTAGACCTTCACTCAGTGTTTTGGTCTCTGTAGTGCATTCATCTCAGGCTTTAGGACAGATTTAGATAATTTTGACAATTGAAAATTATCAGATTATTTTATGATGTTCTGATATGAATTTCTTTTTTTTCTACATTTTTTTCTCTTGCCTATCAGGGCTTTCATGCAAAACAAAGTATTACAAGAATAGACAAAAAAATTTGCCTTTATTTTTTTTCAACTTGTCTATTAGGACAGAAAAAAACAAAATAAATTTCAAAATTTTTCCCTTCCAGATTTTTTTTTCTCTTGCCTTTCAGGGCTTCCATAAAAATCCTAGACTTGAAGGATACTTTAGAATATTAATAAGTATCATAATCTACAAGTGATGAATATTAATAATTTAACTGCATACAGTAATTGGTTGATGAAATTAAATTTGTAAAGCAAAAACAGCTAATAAGTCATTCTTTAAAAAATGTATTAGTCCATTTCACACTGAAACAAGAAGTTGCTTAAAGGAAGCACATTAGCAGCCACTGATCAGACCAAAGGAGCTAAAAAGTCCTCCATCCGTTTTCCTTGCCGCTCCAGAGGTGAGTGTGATCTTACACAGACAGACAGTCAGTCCAACACTCACCAAGAGAGATTTACTGCCCAACATTAACACATCTGCAAAATCTGATGGGGTTCCTCTACAAAGCAATGTTTAGACTAGTTGTGAAAATGATGACATGACAACTGATGAAGGAGGAGGTTTATCTGCTTCCACTCTGGTCTGCAGAGAGAGCACCTGCTGCACTGAGAAGAGAGGTAAAAACCCATTTCCAAATGTCATATATTGAGGAAATGAAGCTCAGCAGTTTTAAATTAAGTTCTATGCAACTATCCTTACAAAAGTATAATCCTTCAAAGAGATTGACTGATCAATAATGTTTAAAAAATGGAGAGGGTGTGAGACTGTATAAGTGTTTACTTCTACCCCATCCTTTATTGGACTCCTAATGGATGGATTTGTTTTGTTGTATTTGTTTACTCATCCCTATTTGATAGGGTTTATCTTGGAGGGTGTTTTGCTGAAATGTCCTATAATACATTTTACAGATTATTTCATATTTCATATTAATTTCTTTAAACATTGTAATAAAACAATAATAGGGGGAATTTGGAGCCTTCCTGCAGCTGTACTTGTAGTTACTCTATTACCCATTATTCAAAGGTGAGAAAGCGAGAGCTTTACATATCTACGGTAAACCATGGCAATTATTTTTAATCTGTTTTAGAGTAGGAGTTGAGATTAACTGTGACCCAAGCTCAAACACAAGCAGCAGAAATTAATAAAAAGGGTCTTAAAGAAAATTGTTAAATTTACATTTCAAAGTGAATGATTTTAATAGATATCATTTCATATTTTCATTGTATTAATGTGTTGTAGATTTTTTTTGTTGTATATCTTATATTGTATGCCTGTGTTCAGTGTGATTATTTGTTTCAACTATTCGTTTTTTTTCTTCTATCAGTCTTGGTCATGTTTTTCTTTTTAGAATTATTTCATTATTAAATTCATAGATAGGTTTCCTTTTTTTTTTTACTTGACCACCTGCCCCCAAAAGACACATGCCAACCCTGTTTATATTACTTCTAGCCGTCACATATATGCCTATAACCGGCCTTGCTAAACACATTACTGAGATGCAAATTGCTGATTCAAATTACACCAGCTGTTGAATATTACATTAACAGACTTTTATAATGACAAAAAGAGGAAATAAAGGGACATTCCAATGTTCTCAACAGTGACAAAACAAAACAGTTGTGCTTCAGAACTGGGGCCCGTACAATTTGTCAGCATTTCAGACAGACACTGTTTGGATTGGGAAGGAGGTGCTGTAAGCTCCGTGGAGTGGATTCTTCCTCTCGCTCTAGACAACAGATCACTCTCAAAACAAACTGTTGTAAGAACATGGATGAGCATGGTCTGAACGGCACATAACAATCTCAACTGAGAAGCACACATGAGCTTCTCACTGCAGGCGTTTTGGGGGGTAGGGGCTGTCACCAGAGCTGCCTTTAACTATACATTAAGTTACCTCCAAATATTGTCATTTAGCCTAAAATTCTGATTGAAATGCATCTTGATTGGATTAAATATACATTCAGTAAATCTAATATTGGTGGGAGTTTGTAGAGTTTTTGCGCTTGAAATGTTTTGCTATTTTTTGCTGCACAGACAGATAGCAAGCTTGAGCGCCCTCCTCAGATTTATTCTGGTAAAAGTTTAAATTTGGGTGAAATGGGGGTGGGAGGTGTTGACATGGAAGGATGTTTTGGGGTGGCATTTGGGGAGCGAGTCAGGGTAAAGGTGCGGAAGGATGTCCGGAGATGGAGGGATGTGTGATAAGGGGGTGTTACGTTAGCACAACTGAGACTGTGTTGTTTGTGCAGTAAATCGTGTTGTTGCATGCAGGTAGACAAACACTTTGCAAACGATTCGCTTTTGTACACACTTGTGTCAGTGTATGATAAAACAAAGCAACAAAATTCTTCCATTTGTATGGGAGTGACATACAGACCATGTCCATACGCAATCGCACACACACACTCACATCCATACACACACACAGATATCTAAATTAATGGTCTCCTTGGGGAGTCATCCAAAGGCCACAGGCATTTGGGAGAAAAGATTCTTGGAAAAAAAGACTCATCATCTGAACATTTGCTCATTACCCCCGTCTTAGCCATTCGGAAAGAAAGTGTAGAACACCAAAATCTTCTTACTGTATGTACTTTATTAGCTCAAGAGTACTTTCTATAACATCTGAAACACGACAACAAAAACAAGAAGTATGGAGGTCTGTGAATGACAAATAAGCTTTTAGTGAGAAGCAAAGGCAGGTTTTGACAGCCACAAAAAAACATTGTTTAAAAAAAAAGCACCCAAAATAAAATGGAAGATTGAGAAAAAACAACTTTTTTTCCACAGGACTTAGACTCCCTCTGTCCCTTTGAGACTAACTCTTTGCAGGAAGTCTTTAAAGAGCAAGCCAATAAAGCTGTGTCAGATATATTGTATTCCCAGTACTCCATAAAGATATAAAATATTGGCCTTCCATTCACATCAGACATGAGGATCAGCATTTTACAGGCCCACAATGTCCTCCTTTGGAGGTTCAAAGAGTTTACTCAAACAATTAACTGTCTTGCTTTTGTGTTTCATCCTAATTGTTTCCGTTTCTGTTAAGCATGACTCACAATAACAAAGTTTCTTGGGTAACAACATAATGTGATTTTTTTCTTCATAAGGCAATAGCTCCACCACTGCATAATCCGAAAAATGTATTTAATGGATTTGCAACAAACTGTTTAAATGATCCCAAAGTTTGACATTCGGTGTAAGCTGATCCTAAATACAAATCTGAGTAATAAAGAATCTGACAGATATGTATTCATACAAAGGAGTCATTTCAATGGTTTGCAACAATATAATGACAGATGCTGTATTTTGGGGAATTTGTATTCTCTAAAGCAAAACATAAAAAGACCTAAAGTGTTTTTCAAAATGTAAAAAAAAAAAATAACAATAGATTTAATTTAGTAAGCAGTCACCTTTCACTCTTAAACCCCTACAAAAAATATTTTTCAACCACCTGTCATCCCAAATAACTTAAAAAGCAAAAAATAATAATGAGAACTAATAGAATGACTTAACTAATACAATATTAATGGGGAAAACTGATTGTTAATACAGAATGCTTCCATCCAGGCTAAAAAATAAGAATAATTTTTCATTTTTTATTTATTTAGGAGATAACAAACCTTCAAAGGTAGGGTTTTCTGTCCAAACCAAGAATAGAATTTTTTTTCTTTTTAAAACAATTTGCTGAAAAAAGCCAATGCTTGTATGACACTCTAGTGTTTATTTGGGGCCAATACCAGTGCAATAGATAGGTAGTCATTGAGTGTTTTTTGTAGGACAGTGGTACATGTCAGGATGTCTACCACAGTCCTGAAGCCTTCTCCTGTTTCAATCTCTGATTGAAGAGGTGCAGATAGTAGCTGGACCTTCATCTGACTGCTGGAGAAAGACATGAGGGATAATGGATCAAGGAAGCTTTACTAAAGATGGTTGAGATGTTTTTTAAACTCTTTCACTGAATTGTAAACTAAGATTGTAAACATATTACATACTGTAGATCCACACAGCATGTGTTATCTTTGAATCAGGTAAAAATCAGTAAAAGATTTTAAAAAAAGATGAAAAGGTCGTTTTTGAACCAGAATTCTGAAAAAGTATTTTAGCTTGACGGTTTGGAGGATGTTTAGCTATTTTTTCTGTTTTAGATGAAGCCAATAAAGGAGCTAGTAATGCAATTAAATTTTTTTTCCAACATAGAAAGTACCCCTGCAGTGATACTTCTATGTTAATTTTGTGATGTTGTGCCAGCTTACCAGAAGATTATGAATATATCAAATAACTAGAACTGGAAGTTAGTTAATTAATAGGTTATTCAAATCAAGGGTAAAACTAGTTATTTATTATCAGTTGAATGATTATAACTGTAATTTTAATAACTGACCAGTGTTTTAGCCCCTTACTTAAATAGTTGGACTCCTGAATCCAGTTGTCTTTCACCAATTTATTAATTTAGGCTATGGCTCTTAGCAAAGTTATTAACCACCAACCAAATAAATGTACCTCTGTTCATTCGGATGCTACTGAAAGAAGAGTGAATCCAGCCTGTGTGATAAATCGTTCACTCTGTAAAATGAACACATAAGACTACGGGTTAAAAATACAATGGTATCTTTATTAGCTACAATCACACAGTATTATATCTAATAACTAAGCAAAACACTAAAAACTACTGAAAATAAGCAAAATTAAAGAAAAAAAAGGGAAAAGGGGTTTAAGAGTCTGTTCAAAGTCTGAGAGATGTTCGAAGTTTAAGGCTTAATGCATTTGAAAGTTTCTTTTATAATAGCAACAGAAGTGTAAATAAACCCTGAAACAGAGATGTTAACTGCAGTCAAAACTGTGAAATTTCATTCAGTTTATGGTGAAAAATCAATAATGACTCAGGAATGTATTAAACTACAATGAGGCTGAAAGACCCATTAGCTTAGCTGGCCCCAGGGATTCTGGTTCTGGTTAAGTCCAACTGAAATGCAGAGAGGGTTAGCTCACGATGTAGCAGTTAGCTTCAGCAACATGTGACTCGTTCAGTCTGTAGTGAGCATTAGCATTCAGTGAAACCCTTAAAAACAGTCAGTAGTTGAATCAGAAAGCTTAATTCAAATAAAAACACCAACACAGTTATCTACTCTACCTAGTTCACCCAAGCAGAGCACTTATTAAGCATCAGAAGGAAAGGAGAGGGAGGATGTAGTTACTGTTTTGGTTCGGTGGTCTGAAGGCCTTCAGCTCGGTCCGGTTTCTGCAGGCCCGTCTTCGGTCCAGTCCGTTCGTCCAACAGCAGCTCAAAGAGATTTGGATCAATCCGATGCACAATAACAGGCTATTTTCCACAAGGTTAATTTTAATACTCACTGTAGCATGGGACGTCTCCCTTTTAGCTACGGTGGTTAGCTCGTAGCCGCAGCTTCTAGCAGCACATCTTCTGTGCTGCTCCGTCTCAGGCAGTCCCAGTCCGGTGGTTTCTAATGACTCCTTCGGTGAACAGCGATCGGGACCCCCATTGTTCAGTGGTTAGCTCTTCTGTCTCTGCTGCAGCAGGATTCAGGATACACTGCATTCACTTGGTTTGAATTGCAGAAAGAATAAAAACACTGCGTTCAGCTCCATCTGAATCACAGGAAAAGGGGTAGTCTTACTATGTCCAGCAAGCGCAGACTTCTCCGGAGGGATTTGGTTGCTATGTAGCGTAGCCTTTAGCTGGAAGTGCTTTTGTCTAGCTTACAGTGGCACAGGGCCATGGTAAAATAGGACGCTAACATGGGAAGCTAGCTCTTTTAAAACCTATGCCGGAGGGGTGTGTCTTCAGAGCGGCTGTTCTGGTTACATCAACAACAATGGGTCGCAACAGTATGTATGCTGTGTCTTAAACCAGCAGTTGGACATTGAAGAGGGACTTCAACCCCAAGCCAGGTTCTGCTGCAGCCATTCTTTTTAAAGTGGATTTTTAATTTAATTTAATGCAATCTATTGGGTTTCCTTAAATAGAACATTTTTTAATTAGTATGTCTGGTATGGGAAAAAAGAAGGATTTGGTGCCATAAAAAATAAACAGAAGTGACTTGAATTGAATATGATCCTGCTTCAGTTTAATCTAACAAGATTACAGATGTTGCTTAACTTCCTCCCTATGTTTTCCTGCTTTAACATTTTTTTTCTGAGAATACTTGTAAAATTCTTGTAAACTTTATCTGATTTGTTTTGTAAACCGGAAATCCTTAACTAGTTATTGTCTTTCTTGTATCCAAATATATATCCAACAGGTCTAGAAACAGAAAATTAGTACAGAACATAATTAAAGAGGTATTTGAGCAACATTAACATAAATCTCTCATGACACAGGACATAAGGACCCAGTATTCAAGGCGAGACAGACAGTAGGATAATTCAAAGTGTTTATTAAACACAGGAGAGGGCTGTGGATCCGCTGTACCAGCAGTCAGGTCGGGGCGGCGCCCAGCAATGGAAAATCTGGTTGCAAAAAAACACATATTAGTAACCATGATAATCTGTTGGGGGATGATTATCCATATGAGTCACTAACCTAGTTTAACAGTTCAGTCCATCTCCATAGAAAGAGGTAGGATCCAGGGGGAGGCTGCCAACCAGATGTGGCGGAGGCCACATGGTCTGTCTCAGCTGCAGCCCTAGCGAAACATGCAGGAATCGGAGCCAGGTCAGGAAAACAGATAAGAACAGGAAGGCTCAGAGGTCCAGGAGCCCGAAGGCTGGTCATGGATAATGATCAGAATAGGAACAGGCTGGTACAAGGTTCCAGGAGTCCAAAGAGAGTTCCGGCCTAACATTCAGATGGGAACAGGAAGAACGAGCACTAGAACAATAGAAATAATCTGGCCCCGAAGGCTTTTACTGAGCATAAATAATAGAAGCAGGAGCAGGTGGATTAGATGAGCAGTAATTGGAAACTGGGCAGAGTTAGACAGGTGAATGAAATTAACAATTAAGACAGTCATCAGTGCCAAGATTATGCAAACTCTGATTTATGCACACATTTAAGTCAATCAGGGAGGCTGTGATATATATAAAAAAAAGCTTTGGTGGCATGGCATTACAAAAGGTAAAACAGTTGAGTATACTTGGAAATGTTATGCTGTGGGCGCAATCCTGCTTCAAAGACCCTACCATTTATAATGTGTGGATACTTTCAACACAGATTGTTGAACTTATCCTTTTCCGTTTGAAATCCTTCTTACCTGCCAAAGACCAATGGACGGAAGGACGGATGGACGGACAGACAGGTGGACGGATGGACGGACGGACAGACAGGTGGACGGACGGACGGACGGACGGACGGACGGACGGACGGACGGACGGACGGACGGACGGACGGACGGACAGACAGACAGACAGACAGACAGACAGACAGACAGACAGACAGACAGACAGACAGACAGACAGACAGACAGACAGACAGACAGATAGACAGATAGATAGATAGATAGATAGATAGATAGATAGATAGATAGATAGACAGATAGACAGATAGACAGATAGACAGATAGACAGATAGATAGATAGATAGATAGATAGATAGATAGATAGATAGATAGATAGATAGATAGATAGATAGATAGATAGATAGATAGATAGATAGATAGATAGATAGATAGAGTAATAAAACATGATAGAAGCTCAGAGAAGAAGGTGGGTGGGAGAAGTGGCTTATCCAAACAGATCTGTGCCCGGTTATTTTTACGACTGTCCTGTGCATTAGCCATTATCTGCCAGCTCTGTTATGATTAGGAATAAATACAGACATGGGCAACACCACAGAGCAGAAGATTTGTGTGCTAAGTGAGCCGTAGAATTTGAGAGGAGAAGTTAGTCACGACAGTTTATTCTGTTTCATCAGACACTCTTCTGGTCATTTTAAGCCCTTATGGAAACAGCAGATCTTGCCTTCTTATGTTCCTACTCTGTGAGGACCTCAGGAGGAGTGTTCTCTTGAGTCTCTTGAATTAAGTTGAGCTAAGGAGGAGGGAATTTTGCAAAGGGAAATGACACAGAAAGAATTATAGACATAGAGCACTCAAACACATGATATCATTTTATCTGGGCTCAAGCTCCTATTTGAGCACTCTCCAAACACCTGTGTTTAAGGCGTGGAGTGAAGATAAACGAGGGGTTTAAGCTTAGACATACAGAGGAATTACTCTGTGTCTCTCTGTGTTAGAGAGTGGGTGTCTACTTGTATGCTTATGCCGTCATCTGTATAAGAACTTGCTTTATGTATACGTGAAAGCTAGCGACACTATTTTTATCATCTAGTGCTTATTTAAGCACACACTCAACTTTTGTCTTGGTGAATCAGAGATCTACCGAGACGTTAGGTTTACACCCACCTGCCGCCTCAGGGACCGCATGAAGCGGCGTGCTAAATGAGCTCTCACCCCATCTGGCCATGTGTGTGCGAGTGTGAGGGGAGCAGAGGTGACGGTGAGTTTGAAGCTGCAGAGAAATGATCTGTGAGGTTTATTATCTTTAATTAGCATCCAGGGGGAGAGAAATAGATAAGGACCACCACTTAGCTGATGGATCTGTTCTGTGTTTATTCCCTGCACTAAGAAAAAATTGTGTTCTAAATTAAAAAGAGGGGAATCATTAGTTCTGCAAAAAGTCCAGATGCCTCCAGTTTTGGCTTCGCTTACTGTTACTCATACAGTAGAGAGCACATTTAGTGTTGCAATTACATGATTTTTAAGAATAGGTGTCTAAATGCCGGAATTAGCGGTTGGTTCCTTACAATGTCAGTAGCTGATTAGAAGACTTAGTTTGTTTCACTGACTTCAACACTTAAAATGGACAATAAAAAAAGGTAAACTCAGAGTTAATATATGGATTCTTCATTGTTTTGCTGACAAATCTGCTGGATTTAGTTAGGTCAGTTGGTGGTAGGGAGAAATATATTCTCGTGTACAGATGTTACTGCACACCTTTCCTCCACACGAGGTGCTCAGACTGCTCAGTCCCAGTCTATCCTTTTATATTGAAATTAGTATTAATACCTAGAAGCAACCCACCATGTGTCCAAACAATCATGGCATGGATGCAGCCAGGTAGTCATGGGTTGTAATTGACCATACCCTTATAATTATTATTCCCTTTTGCAGTACGGAGAGATGTTTCTACAACACAAATACAAATACAACAGTATGAATGCAGTTATAACCCGACTACTAGTACATTATATATAACTGATATATATATATATATATATATATATATATATATATATATATATATATATATATATATATATATATATATATATATATATCAACTTGACTGAATAGGTATGTATCTGGAATTTATTTCTTGATTGCCAAAATAATACAAATAATAATAATACAAATGAATAACAGCAAGAATAGGAATATGTAGATCTAAAATGAATTTGAAACTTCCAGAATTATTAATCTAAATGTGTAGAATGTTATTTTGTTTGAAATTAAATTTTTACAAGAGAAAATCTTTTTTTTCAGATATCAGGAATACATATTCAGTAAAACTAATAGGTATCGAAACGGCTTGTTATAGCCTGTTGTACCACGATAACATTACAGGTTTATTTCTTGAATGGTAGTGGATCAGTTCATCTATTTAGGGTCAATCATCTGGCAGCAGATGAGGATGAAGTCTAAAAACATTGTTCTATGGAACCTTTTCATCGTCTCATAAGGTTCACATTGATTCTGTCTTAATTTACACAATAAATAGTAAGTGGTTGCTTCCAGGCACATCAGATTTTATCATCCCAATAAATGGTCGTTATTAGAGGTTATCAGTCCCATAGAATGGCTTCAGATTGTGCCAGTAGGCTTGGTAGGTGTTATCACTGAATGAATCCTAATCCTAACCCTAAAGTAATTCCTTTACCCCCCATGGAATTAATTAATCTATTTATGTGTAATCTGAAAATAATTTCAGTAGTTCTTCGTGTATTGTAAAAATAAATTTGATGTTTTGTTCTGGCTTCATGTTTTTGGTCTTTATCCTCTCGGGATGTGAATCTCCAACCCAGTCTTAAATCATTTTACAGCCTCCAACACTTTTACTTTCTGCATTGCCTTTGATTTACCTCCCTAAATCTTCTCACCTTCTCTGACAAACTATTCTGTTCCTACTGAAAAAATAAGAATCCAGAGAGCTTGATTTTAGTATAACCTTATTTTCACGGAATGTCCTGCAATGGTGCAAAAACGATGTATATCCTTATAAACAGTTGTGAACAACAGATGTGGTAAGAAATCTGTTTACATTGTAAAGAAACGGTGCTGTTGTGTCTGTCGTGCTCTTCTAATTCAGCTTGTCTGTAAACGGCTCACAAGCAAACAAACGTGTGCATGCACTAATGAGCCAACAGTGCTCCTTGCCTGCTTCCTTCCTGGATACTTGGGGTTCAGAGGATCTAAAGGGGGGTCTCTTGAGATTTGATGTGTATGCGTGTAGATGTGGGGATGTGTGTGTGTTTTGTTAGGGATACATTTATCACAACTCACATCTCACCTCCCAGTCATGTCCTGTTAGCCTCCGGTAGCATTATGTTTTTGTCTCAAGGGACAGCTGATGGACAAACTCACACAGCAATCTGATTAGTCTGAAATGAGACCTGGGGGTGTTGCAGTGGTTAGCTTTTTACAAACAAACACACACACACCTATATACACCATCACACTGAATGTGTGATGGTGTATATATCT